GTCGTAAGTGCACAATTGGCCGGTATGACAAGATGTCTGCATAGCATATCCACCAAGTGTACACACAGAAGTTGCGCCATTACACGTTCCCATATAAACAGGATCCGCGGTATGGCCAAAGTGGTAGGCACCAGTGTAATTCCTCTTCTGGGGCGACGACGGATCACTCCCAGGGGGTGAAGGCAGTCCAAGTCGAGAAGCAGGTAGCGCCTCTGGCACAGCTTCAAACGTGACCACTGGCAGCCCATATGTCATCCCAAGCATGCTTGAAACGGAACCACCCAGAGAGTGGCCCGCAAGCCAGATATTAGAATTGGGATAAATTTCGGTGATGTTGGCGTAAAGATCGAGAGCAGCTCGATAATAACGGTTTTCTGCTCTCAGTGCTTTCCTTACACAAGTTGCATTACATGTATATGTTGACGTATAACAGTCGCAAACTTGTCGCCAGAAATATTGTCCACCTTGGGCACAGCAACAGCTGAAAAATAAGTTATCGTTAACCTTGTCATTTGTTGTAGTCTCTTCGCCATCGAAAAGAGCCGCGGATGTGCCCTTCAAAGCAACTATTATTGTAGAATTTGATTTATCCGCGTAGATATGGCCTCTCAGCCCATCAGTTTCCCATCCAAAACTGTTTGAATGGTTGAAACGCGGGTTAACATCATTCCATTGTTCTGTTCCTGGCAACATGATGTAGGCGTTGGCGGTCATTCGAGCTAACGAAAGAACTGTCTCTTTATCCGTAACATCAGGAGCATCCACTTCGTCCAGGGTCCAATAATCTGATGAGAGTGTTACTGGAGAGCTTGTCAGTCTCGCAGTTAAGAGGTGGTCTTCAATAACGGAAACCCGGCGGTCGGTGAGACGCTGGATATTAACAGATCTTGAAGAAGCACGGAGACGAGGAACGGGTTCCCGTCCTTCACCATCTTCTGAAGCCACCCATAGCTCAGCATCAGGCTTGATATCAAGCCGCTTATGTAGGAGGGGGTATCGGTAGGTTCCATGATGAAAGATATGTCGCAATGACTAGGGAAAAATAGGCAAGATTAGCGAGTTTTCGATTTAGCAATATGGCTACTACAAGCACTCACAAATTCATGATCTGTGTCAACAGGTTGAGGCCCTGGGAGCGGAATTTGAGGCTGTATAAAGGGATTGTGAGCAGAGACAATGCTGGGTAAAGGCGATATCGCTAGTAAGGACACTAGAACATCAAACCCCATGAGAATGGACCCAGATGACCGCTTCTTTCTTTTCCATCTAGATGGTTGCATATTGTAAATGAGATATAGAGGATAGATAGTAGTCTGTTCGACCAAGGGTGTTGCTGTGGGCCATACAGAGCAGGCTGTTCACCCAAACGGAAGCGTTGGGGAGGTTGAGGTTGATGGCAGTCGGCGGCCTGCGGTGATGACGCTGTTGGCGCTGATAAGTCACGGGCGATATGCGGATGGCGACACAGACCAGCAGCGCTGATTGGTCATGTGACCTTCCCCGTGACCTGTAACTGTCCTCACCTCACAGCTGTTGGACAGTTGGGAGGCACCAACAACTTATCAAAACCCTCAACACCGTCACACTCGTTGCACCACCGGAATAGTACACGCTGTGATTCTTTTGGGTTACGTCAGACATCAGCTGGAGATGCTGCACGCTTATGATCCCGTCTAATGACAACCGCTCTCTCCGCCGCTCACCACTGCTGCCACCAACCAGCTCTGCTACCTCCCGTTTAAGAGTTGGCACCTGGGATCTACCCTGCTTCTTGATGCGCTCACTATGGCATTGTGATTCCCAAGCTCATCGGAGAGAATTATTCTGGAATCCCCACTAGTTCATAATACATGTAGCCAGGCACAATGTCTGCTGAATCTACCCCACGGCCAACCGGGCCCCAGACATCGAAGTCGTTCTCCCGCATGGAGGACGCATCACCCAATACCTTTCCTCGGAGCCGTGCAAAAACAGTTCACGGTATTGTAACACAAGAGGTGGCCCCAGAGAATTCTCCTCTTGTGTATATCAACCCGGACTCTGTAGATGGGGAAGCGGACCTCTTTGCGAAAACAGAATCACTGGAGTCAGACGAGGTGTCCCTAATCGACAAATCCGATCCCAATCATTCGCAATTGCAATACATGACAGGCCACTTTGAGCTCCCTATAGAGCTAATTAGTTTGACTGATAGGTTGGTGATCTATCTTCGAATTCCGAAGCTAGCCAGGCTAACAGCCGTTCCTTCAGGTTTATCGCCTCTCTCAGCGCGAAAGTATACTCTACCCCACCCTCTATAGATAGACTTTCGGACCTCTTTCAAGACTTTTATGTGCGTGCCGCTGCACACATATCGACCCACATTTCGACTCTAGCCTCCCGTTTGAACCGCCAGCCGTTACCTTCTCCACAGCCTCAAATTTCTGGAAAAGCTCAGCGAGATCCCTTGTCTAATTCGTCCGGCCATAAAGACAACCAAAAGGGCTCTGAAAAACTTACTACTGGCCAGCAAATGCTGACTGCGGAGGAGGTGGCGGAAAAGCGGAGAGCCCGCAAGATTCTGCAGTACAAAGGCCATGCCCTCGAGGAAGCGGTCGAGCGACGGGCGTGCGAGGCTGTATACGAGAAGATCTGGCGGCACAAAAATTCTTTGGATGAAGTCAGAGATGAGAAGCTCCGTTCCAAAACAGCGGCATTAGCACTTGTTGGTATTGGGCTGAAGGACCTAGGAATCGAGAATTGGGATCTGAACGAAGAAGGCTCTGAAGCGTCAAAATTCCTAAGTTCTGCCCGAGAAAGTTTAATTAAGATGAACGATGAAAAATTCCCGCTAGGCAAACTCCATCATCTGACTGCAGCTCACAAGGCTATTGTCGATACACTGACAATAGTTCTTCCATCATCCTCCTCTGCTGATGAAATCCTACCGACCTTGATATACACCCTAATAACTACACCAGCAGAAGGCATCAACATCATAAGTAACCTACTGTTCATTCAGCGCTTTAGAGCATCTAGTAGACTCGATGGTGAAGCGGCATACTGCTTAACTAACCTAGAAGCAGCCATTAGTTTTCTAGAGAATGTGGACTTAAACAGTTTACAAACAGACCAGACCGAAAAGAGCATGGCACACTCTCCTAGGAATGTTTCTAATCCTACATCTTTGCGACCTGATGCACCAACAGCTAAAAACTCTGCTACAATTTCTGGCTCTTCGGCCTCCTCTGAAAGGTCGTCTGAAATTGGAAAATCAGACCCGGGGCGGCGCCTGGGATCAAATGAAGGCATACCAAAGCCTCGTGCAGCTGATCCTTCGCCACAGCGACGTCTAACTAACCTCCTTCAGCCTTCAGCAAAAGTACTTGGTGCCGCCAATGATGCTGTTCGAAACACGGCTGATCAGGGATTCAAAAATATCAGCAGCACGCTCGATAATAGCTTCAACTTCCTCTTTGGTCGCCTGAGGGAAGTTCAAATTAAACAAAATGGGGAGCCAAATGGGATGTCTACGATTGTGCCAAAAACTCTGGATGACGCTCGACGGTTGGTTACCACCTCGCCAATCATCGACGACGAGAACGATCGCAACATGAAGGCGGAAGATAGACTCATCGGGCTTATCGGGGGGCGGAAAACATCCCGGCAAAATAGCGCGGGTAGTTCAGGGAACAGCGGCAGTGGGTTAAAGGCCGTTGCAACCAGTGCAGAGACTTCTACTCCAGCTGCAGCTACTTCCGGATCGATTTTCTCCAACCCCGCAAACCAATTAACACAGACTCCGCCATTTGGCTCAATGAAGAGTTTCGGCAATACCCTAAACCCCTTAAACCACATTCCAGGCATGATCCGCGGGTTCGGACGAAGCACACCAGACCCATCTCAGGACACCGTATTATCCACAGACAAGCCGAAAACATCGGAGTCCATATCCAGCCGTTCTAGCACTCCCATCCCACACAAGAACAACACGAGCACGAGCATCAACGCCACCGAATTTAAACCTCCAATCAAGCGGTTCTTGGAAATGTCAGATGCTGGAGATCTTAAGCTGAGCGATATCCCTGAGCTGCTGGAGGATTATAAGCGGCTTGCGCTGTTTTTGAAGGAACACGGGACTCCCCAATAGCCTCCTTTTCCCTTTTTAATTTTTTTTTCTCTCTTTCTTTTTCTTTTCCCTGTCATCCAGTCTCGGGTCTCTTTGGTTATTCCAGCAGCTCTAGCCTATTTTTATTATTTTGCAAAGTATTGCATTGATACCCATATCTCCTACCAGCGACGATACACTTCTTGTGCTCAGCGATTGCCCGTTCCATTTGGCCTGGTGCCCCTTGTTTTCCTTCACTTATATGTTTTATCAACTGTTTAGGGGGGTTTTTCGTTAAGGTTTCTGGTTTCAATTTTAGGGGCCATCTATCTCGGTGTATTTTCTCTATCTATATACATGCTTCTGGTTTGGGATGCGGTACAGGCCTAAAGAAAGACACCCAAGAAAACGGGACAGTATAAATCAGACACAAAGAGTATAGATTATATATATATGGAAATCGGCACGCAACTATGGAATTAAAATGTTCTCTTTTTTCTTTTTCTCTCTCTTTTCATGTCTGGACTTGGTCTTTCCCCTTCGTTCAGCCTGACTGACAACTTCATCTTTCTCCAATAAGCAGCAAATCCCTGACTACCCCGGCCCCTTCTGTTCCCTCAAAATTGTCTATCCATTGTATTCTCCTTATTTACTCTTTTCACGAACCTCCTCAAGGCGGGAAGCATAATTAATTTAAAACAAACCACCGAGTAACGGACCAATTAATTATTATACTGTACATACCCGAAATCCAAAAAACTTATATCGCTGCTCCTTTTGCCCCCTTTTGACTAAAGGTCCATAAAGGTCCAGATCGCGTAAGTTAATTACCCCCACCAAAAACCCACCCCTACAAACCTACAACACCCACAAATACAAGTACAACCGGCCCCTGGCTTCCAAAAGAATCACAGGCCGGCTGGCGTAATGGTAACGCGTCCGTTTCCGGCTCCCTTTTCTCTAAACCGGATCCATGAAATAACATCCATACTTCTTGTCTTTATGTGGAAGTGTGTATGGTATTCCTTGGCTATAATGTATATACGGAAGATTTGCAGGTTCGAGTCCTGCGTCGGTCGATTTTGAAATATTTTTTTTCTTTTTCTTTTTCTTTTTCTTCTTTTTCCCCCCCCCCCCCTCTCTTTTGTGCGTTTGCTAGATAACTATCAAACGACCTCAGTAATAATAAATAACTTGCCAAAAGTGCTGATAGTTAACTATCATTCAATTTGCTTAATTGTGCGGTTTTTAAATTTTTTTTTTCTTTTTTCTTTTCTTTTTTCTTTTCTTCTTTTTCCCCCCCCCCCCCTCTCTTTTGTGCGTTTGCTAGATAACTATCAAACGACCTCAGTAATAATAAATAACTTGCCAAAAGTGCTGATAGTTAACTATCATTCAATTTGCTTAATTGTATAATGTACCTATGGTAGCTTATCCCGCGACTCAGGCAGGCACTGGCCAGCGGCAAGCAGAACTTAGCAGATATGTACATGTACATACTGTACATATCGACGCCATATTTTAAAATAACTTCTCCTTCTAGGCAAAGTAGTTAAAAATACTTTATATTTTTTCGTCTAGGGCGATATATCTATTTCCGTGCTATCTATGTGGCTTTCATTATCAATCATTCTCGCACCGCGGCCGTTTTGTCGTTATTTCATCCCTTCATGTGTTAGAAACGCCCTTTTCGACGCCATCTGTATAAGATATAAAAGAGGTGACGAATAAAAATAAAAAATAAAAAAGAAATGGAACTGTCCCCATCTCACTCACCATACTGATAACGCGCGTTGCTCAGCGTTTATCTGCCTAGGGGGGGGGGGAATATCAGGATATCGTTACAAAATAAAAAAGACCACGGGCAAAGTTGCCTCCTGTAAAAATAGCCGTAAGCAGCGCAAGCAGAAAGCAGAGTGACGATAAATTTCTTTTGAATTTATCATCACAAAGCCCGCCCCTTCAAAACATCCATCCCCCCCGTTCTCATCTCTTCTAACCGCTGGCCAATCCCCTTCCCTTCCACCTCGACAAGTTCATACCGCCTCTCAATCTCCCTCTCAAACACAGCGGCCACTTTCCGGCGCTCGTGCCTCGCCGCTTTCGTCCGCTGAAGCAATACGCTAAACTGGTCAATGATCCAGTCACCGCTCTCTTCCCACTCTGCGACATTCAGGGATGCGAAGAACATGTGGCGCTGCTCATCTGTCAGCGCCTTTAGTCGCGTAAGTTTCTCCGAGAGAGGGATGGGGGGATCCTGTGGTTGGAAGATGGGCTGCAGAGGGGCTGGGTTGTAGTCGAATGATTCCGCTTGGAGGTCAGCGAAGGTTTTTGTCTGCAGGATGTTTGGTGGGTAGTCGGATTGTAATTCGGTCCAGGGTCGTTTGGTGGAGACGGGGGATAGGGTGGATAGGCATAGAGATGTGTATGTATGCTGGTTGTCTGTGCTGTTCTCGGATGAAGAGCTGTCCACCGCACTTAGATCTGTGATGTCAAATAGACCACCGTGGCTGTATGGATCGTGGTTGTCATGTGTCAAGTGTAGAGGGTTGGGGTTGTTGGGTTCTATGGTGTTTCTTGCGCTTGACTGGGCGACTGGTTGCGACTGCGGAGATAAAATGACGGTGCGGGACGGTGAAGTTTGTGGAATTGGCCGCGCACCGACTAATTTCCCCCCTTCAGGCGGTGCTCCACCACGTGGATTTGGGGTGCTAAATCGAGATCTCGTCACGAACCGCCCTTCGTTGGAATGCTTTTGAGTTGCTTTTGGCGTATACATATTATCATCGGGGTAATTCTCGTAATCCGATTGCTTAGAGACACTTTGTTCTTCAATGTTTTCTTGTCGCTGTATGCCTTGCATGGGAGGGGGAGCTTTGGTATCGCGCAGGGCTGCTTCAATCTTCTGCCAGCTGAGCGGTTCTCCATTGATATGGTGGTTGTTGCTCCAATCAAATATTTGGGCAGCATCTCCATCAAACTCATCCCCATCGACCGCATCGATCACATCGACATGCACATGCTGCACATCATACTCCTGTGGATCCTGAATATTATCATGCTCATCTCCACCAGGGTCAGAGCCGATCTCCATTATCATTCTTTCTTCCAGTGCATTTCGACCACGGGGATTACCCCGGCTATACTGCATATTTGGTGGCAAGTCATTCTCATCTCGAGCTGTGAGCTGAGAAGCCGGCCGGCCTCGCTGGAAATCACCCTTGACGCCTTCTTCCCCTCGAATGAGGCTCGTGGCCGTAGTAGTGGAATCATCGACAGTTTCCACATCAGTGTCAAACATATCCCTGAGTGTTGCTTGGCTATGCTGTACGTGATATCCTGCGGTCTGTCCAGACAATTTAGTTGCAGTTCCCGGTTGAGGTTCCCGCGGAGTTGCAGATGCAGATCTAGGCCTGTCACTCAATCTCGTCGTTGGCACTTTAACTCTCGCCATATTAGCAACGAGGTCTCTTGAAGGATTACTTGCAACATGGTTGCTGCTCTGCGGAGCTGGGGTATCATTTTGCAGGGCTTTGCCTCGAACGTATTCCGCAACTGCCATTGCTCTGGTCTTGGGGAAAACAGGAGAAACAGTGAATTTGAAACAGTTGCTGGGCAGGACGACAGATACACGTCCAACGCGTATGTCGAGGTGGCTACGGTATGACAAGGCCCATTTCCACACCCGTCCTTATCAGCAGTGCTCCGCAGGTATAAAGAGTTGAGGTTGAGACATTCGATTTTGGAAGTTGAGCACGTCCCTAACACGTGGTCACATGACCTTACCCACCTCCGGAACTCGGTCAACGCATTCTCATTCACGGCCCCCTTATTGGAGATGGTTTTTCTCATTCGCATTCGTTTTGCCTTCATCTTGTCAGTGTAATATATTGGCGGCAGTATTATCATCACGTTGGCTTGGCATATTTATAAAACATTAAGGGTAGGTATATTTGGTTGCCTCCTAATCTGGGCTTCCCATACCAGATTGTCTAGGAACCTAAGAATATAAAGCATATGTTATCGCATCATATACAACTAGAAGAGGTATTATAGCCATGTCAAGTCGCGCCCCGACGCAATCACACCGCAAAAAAAAACGTAATAATTAAAGGCGCGGTGTCTTTGACAACACCTCCCATGCCCTAGATGGTATACACGGTCATCGGGCATCAGCTTGATGACCCATTAGATTTCGCAAGTTTAGATAACAGAATCGTCCTCATCCACCTCATTCGAAGACAATGGCGTCTGCTTCCTGCGCGCTTTGGCCTTTGCCTTTTCGAAAAATACATTCGCCTTCTCCACCTCTGCCATCTTCCTCTCCATCCCCAACCCTAGCTCCATGCGCGCGAGCACTGAGTCCATGTGGCCCCCACCTTCATCAGAAAACATGGTCTCGTCACCATCATGTCCCATATCCATGTGCATGTTTGTATCGTCATCCTCAGGGGACACAGACGATATAAATAAATCCGCGATCCACAGCGACAACATCCCCCGTAACCGCAACAGCTCATAGCTATCCGAAAACGGCGGGGAAATTAATAGCTCGTCCATCTGCGCCGCTATCTGTTCCGCCTCCGCGAGTTCCTTGCGGCGTGTTTCGGTAATGAATTCATTCTTCCGATTATTACTACTGAGACGCCTATGGGGCATATCACTGGATATGGACATATTATCATCATGAGTTGGGTCGTCAAGCTCGTACGTTTCTGCCACGTCCGGCATGTCCATCATGGCAGCGTCTCGTGCTGACTGGCTTTCTTCCTGCACGAGCGAAATCCAAAGCCCGAACATAGCGGGATAGAAATCTAGTGGGCCCAGCGCTCCCGGCGCAGCTTTGCGGTATGGAAATTGGAGTATGAGGCGCTCGTAGTAGCTCTTGGCGCGCTCGAATCCCTTGCGGGTAAACCAGTATCTTCGAGGTGGGGGATGAGGGATGCCGGCATCCCCAGTCCCTGTTGATGTTGATGAATGCGCTGTCGCGTTGTGGCCATCACTCCATAAGAGTATTTCCGCGCCAATCCCCCACCGGCCACCACTTCGGACATCCATCCCATGACCCCCGAATTCATCGCGTAGGATCAATCCCCAAGCCCTCCCAGCCCGCGTAAAATCTCCCTCTAACAGGCATCGATGGAGTATAGTTGTAATGACTCCCAGGTGCTGTAATCGCAGACTGCTGTTCTGACCTTCAGTTCTAGGAATGAAGATTGGCGGTGATAGCCGAGACAGCTCCTTCTCGATCTCCTTCCGGCTAATCTTGGTAGTCTTTCTCTTGCCCAAACCGGAATGCGGAAAACTGCCACCTGGAAGCTCTTTATGGAATGGCTGGCCGGCAACCCGATATTGGTGTGCCTCATTTGGGGTCAAAATTATTGATTGCCTCGGACCAGAGCTTGCGGCATTCTCACCATCCGCGCCGCTTTCAGTGCTACTGGCCGCACTGGCATCGTCATCACTGGTGTTTGTAGTAGATGCTTCATACTCTTCTACATCCAGTCCTGGTTCTTGAACTTTTTGCTTGCGTTTGCGGGCTTCATACTGGGCTGTACGAAAGCTCGATGGTTGCTGCCATGGGGCGAGCGGAAGTGAGAAGTAGGATGAAGACATGAATTGCCCGATGTGGGAACCAATCAGGCGGAAATGACCTGTCTTCTCAAGGTGATCATGGCCCTGTGGGGCTTGGTGTTCCGTATATCGTTGCGTGGGTGGTAACAGTTGCAAACAGCATTGCTCCCGTCGTTCAATCGGGGGCGTTTTCTTGTTTCTTTTGCTTCTTACTGTTCTCTCAGGTGAATGGTCAAGAGAATATCTAGGCGTCTTCCCTACAGCTTTTCAAGATGGTACTATCACCTCCGGGATTGAGTACAGCGCGGTAGAAGATTGGGATCTGGTAGAGTTGTCGCAGATGAACATTTTTGGGTTGATACGACGAAGAATATCACGGAAAAATATTAATCCGATATAGCCAGTAAATTAGCAGAGTTTCTGTACATACATGCTTAAAACATACATCCACCGAACATGAGCCCACATGGTTGTGCATGTTTTATGTATCTCTATTATCAGAGAA